GGGGGTACGCGGGCCTCTCACTGTTGTGGCCTCTCCCATTGCGGAGCACAGGCTCCGGACGCGCAGGCTCAGCGGCCACGGCTCACGGGCCCAGCCGCTCCGCGGCACGTGGGATCTTCCCAGACCCGGGCACGAACCCGTGTCCCCTGCATCGGCAGGCAGACTCTCAACCACTGCGCCACCAGGGAAGCCCTGTAGACATTTTCATAGATGTTGCTAAAGTCCCATGGACACACCAGGTCAGAGGGACTGGTCTGAAGGCAGTTCCCGGGCTGGGCACAGGCTCTGTGAGGCCCAGGCTCTCTCTGGCTCTGCCACGTCTCTCCGTGGGACCCAGCCAGATCCCTCGTCTCTTCCCCCTCTCTTCCCTGAGCTGTGAGGTGGGCTCCAGAGCTGGTCTGACACACAAGCAAACCTCTCCACCTTCCACCACTTCAGTTACCTTTCTCTGAACTTGAACTTCCTGGAAGACAGACTTGCTGAAATTCAAAAGATTCCCCGTCTCTGACTTTCACTTACAGGAGCTGTCAACTCAGAGCAAGGGTTGGTTTTCAGCTCAGGACGTGCAGCTGTTGCATTTGGTTGGTTGCTGTGTGTGCGTGTGTGTGTGTGCGTGTGTGTGTGTGTGTGTGTGTGTGTTAGTATCTATTTGCTAGGAGGCAAGAAAAAGCACTTAGCCAGGCGAGTGCTGCAATTTCTCCAGAGGCAGAACAAAAAAATTTCTCAGCACATTAAAGCATGCATTTATGCTCAGAAGAAAATGACTGCAAAATTATATATTGGGGGTTTCCATATTTATCCGCCCCCCCCGGACGATGAGTCAAAACAAGATTTATTTGCGTAGTTCGTTCTCAACTGCCAGCACTTTGAGCTCAACTTGGAACGTGGGGAAAAAAAAATCAAACTGCTATTTTTTGCCGTGTGCTGTACATTGTCACCGGTGGCAAAGATCACAGAGTGAGAGCCAGTCAGCCGTCCAGGAAGGGAGAGGAAAGCTGCAGAGCTATAAAACAAGAGGCTACGTGAGATTAATCTCCATGGTTTTTTTCTGGCTCAGAGGCACTGGTCTTGCTGGTTGATGACTTGGGTCAGATGCCACTTCCTTGATGTATAGGCCTAACAGGACAGTGCTCCTGGGATGACAGAAAGATCCCGACAAGAAGTTAACACGCCAGGACTGCAGACATTGCGGACCAAAAACCTGGATTCGGGAGGAATACCAGCCCATCGGGCTTGTACCATATCCTATCTTCTCTACCTGATACAGGCCCCAAAGTCTGCAGATGTCCAGGGTGCCTCACGGTCTAAACATGGGGTCCTTAGAGCCTGACCAGTTTCCCCTCTAGACTGGACTGGTTAAACCAGTACCACACAGCAGAGATTTGGTGGTCAGGAGGGTGGGGGATGCTGCGTTGGTAGGAAGGGCTAACTGCTTTGATTTCCTGGAAGTGCACAGGAAAGCCAAATGGCGGGAGAATCAGCACAGAGTGTGTCTGGGCCCCGCTTGGGTCTTTTCTGCAGGAGACCTGTGGGCCAGGTAAAGGTGCTGAGGTGGGAGAGGAGGGGGTGTGGGGCAGGACACCTCATAAAGCAGAGCAGTTGCCCCTTCTCTTGTGCCCAAGGCATTTGGTTCCCTCTGGGCTGGCAGCGTTCTCTCATCCACACACACACCTGCTCCATCCCGGCCCCCCAGAGAGTCAAGGAACCTTCCAGAACCTCTGGTCCACCCCTTCATGGAGTGACTGGCCCACGTTTCATGGCCAGGCGGTGGCTGGGCTGGGACGATGAGAATGTCCTTTGCAGGGAACTCCACGCCTCCCCAGCCGCTGTTCCTGCCCATCGCAACCTAGGAGTCAGTCTTTGCCGTGTATAATCCGTGGCAATGTCAGCCCTTTCCTTGGGTATGGCTTTTCAGGTTGATAGGGGAAGGGGCGCTGGGAACAGCTGGCCACCATTCCCTTAGTAATAAGGCTTCTGAACCCAAAGCCTGTTATTAAAGCTCCCCCTCCACCCTCCCTTCTCCTGGCAGGGGGCTGGTGAAGTGCTGGGAGTGCTACGGAAATTCAAGGTGCGCCACAAACATCAAGGGCTGATTATTTTCAGTTCCCCTCCGATCCAACTAGGTGTCAAGTTTTAATCTATCACCTGACGTCTCTGATGGCTGGTTGCCAAGGCGGAACGACTTAGCTTTTCAAGAATCTTGAGAACAACGCCACGGGTCCATATCCTGAACACACAACCCCACCTGACACAGCCTCCAGCACCTGCTCGCAGAACCCTGGGGCCGCTGCGCCAGTGCATCACACTGAGTCCTCCAGAGCGCGTGGCGCGGGCTGGGTACGTGGGTCGTGCCCCGCAAAATACAAACCTCTTTGAAAAGGATTTGGAATCTTGCTTCTCAAAGTGTGGTCTAACAAGCACTGGCTTGTTAGAACTTGTTAGAAATGCAGCATCTCAGGCCCCAGCCCACACCTGCTGACCCAGGGTCTGTATTTTAACCAGGTCTCCAGGAGATGGCATATTAGAGTCTGAGAACCACTTGTTTAGGCTGGAATCCATGGTGGCTGAGAAACGAAACCACCTGGGGGGCTTTTGCTCTTTTTGGTTTGTTTCTGTTTTGCATTTCCGGGACCTGATCCTTCTCTTTGGGCACTGGTGTGTGTTTTGTTTGAAAGCTTCACAAGTGATCCTGATATCCATCTAAGTTTGGAATCATCATTAAAAATTTACCTGTACCTTCTGCTAAAACTTTAAAGCAGGAAAACGCAAACTACAAATTATACAGAGAAGCCCCATCCACATATGGATAATTCTGAGTTAACCACAGATGGATCTGCCATCTCAGCTTAGCTTCCACTGGGGAGTGACTCTGGCGGGGTGCGCGCTGGCGAAGCTTCTCAGCCCTACCCCGGGCAGGAACAGGTCAGTCACGCAGTGCTCGACCCAGCTTTCTGCAGAACGGCCAATCTCATGCTTCAAGCTGCAACGATGACCCTCTGACATTTCTTCACCTCCACCACCACCTTCAAATTCAACCAGACGTTCCACCTCCTGGCTAGATCCCAGGCTCTCTGCAAAACAGGGGCCTTAGAAACTACAGCCCCCTACTAATGGCAGAAAGCGTAGTTCCGTAAGTTTCTCTCCATCCATCCCTACTAATCCCAGACTATTTGCATTGCCTCTTCCCAGCTCTAGTATACAGTTGTCCCTCCCTATCTGCAAGGGATTGGTTCCAGGACCCCCACGGGTAGCAAAATCCACGGATGCTCAAATCCCTTATATAAAATGGCATGGTACAGTCAGCCCTCAGCCCGGAATCTGCAGGTTCTGCATCCTCGGGTTCAGTGCACGTGGAAACCCCACTGTGCATTTATCAAAATTTAGATATGGGGAACAATTAAATGTCTGTGGCTGGGAGAAGGACAGGAGACCTTGATCAGGTCATGGCCTCAATTTCTTCATCTGGAATGAGATGGCTGTATTATGTCAGTGATTTTCAGAGGGAAACCCTCTTGTCTAACAAAATTGTGGCTGAACTTCCAATACGCCAAACTGAAAGTCATAGAGGGGTTCTGAGGTGGGGGGAGAAGGCCCAGACCTGTAACCACCACCCTTCCCTGCCTGTCTCTGGCTGTGGGAAAGGTCAGCCTGGTTCCAGGGCTCCAAGGAGGAAAGTTTCAAAACCACCGGGTTAGGTCATCCCTAAAGTCTCTCCTGGGGCTTAACTTCCACAAGGAAGAGAAATCTGCTGGTGCTGTCAAAAATCATGTCATAGGGCTCCCCTGGTGGCACAGTGGTTGAGAGTCCTCCTGCCGATGCAGGGGACACGGGTTCGTGCCCCGGTCCGGGAAGATCCCACTTGCCGCGGAGCGGCTGGGCCCGTGAGCCATGGTCGCTGAGCCTGTGCGTCCGGAGCCTGTGCTCCGCAGTGGGAGAGGCCACAACAGTGAGAGGCCCGCATACCGCAAAAAAAAAAAAAAAAAATCATGTCATAAATTACAAAGTTTAAAGAGGGTTCACTTCCGGATCACCCCACCATCTGTCTCCACCGTTGGCTCGGTATAGAGCCATTCACTACATTTCAAAACGTACATTTTCTCTATTGTGTTTTAGACGCAATAATTTTGAAAAATAATTTGTATCAAGCAAATTTCTGAGAAACTCTTGCATCTGGCTTCCATTCTTGCTCCTCATTTTTCTTGGTAATGACAAGGATGTAGATTAACAGGAGAGAAAGAAGTGGCCCATCCAATCCAAACTTCAAGAGAAACAGATTTTGGTGCAAAGGAAGCATAGATGTTATGGTTGAAACAAATGAAATGAACAACCCCCGTATCCTGCCTGCACAGTGACACGGCATCCATGCACGCGTCCAACATCTGCCCAGCACTGTGGGACCCAAATGACGGTCACGATGACAAAGATGTGCAGAGGGCAGCAGGGGCCCGGGCTGGTAGCTGCATCCTGGATAGCAGTGTGGCAGCCTGACTGATGAGTAGGTAAGGGGCCGGGCAAGGCCTATGGGCTTGAGCAGAGGGTTGAACATAAGCTCCATGGGGAGAGGAACACTGTCTCTTTTATCTGGTGCTGGAATACCCAGACCCCAGAACAATGCCTGGCAGTGTTTAGAACAAATAAACGAACAAAGCATGGGTCCTGCTGATGGAAGGAGCTGGGACCATTTGACTGTGTGTGAAAGAATCGGGCGGGAGGGGGCCTGTAAAAAATAATAAGTGGCTTGGCACACTGCCCTTGGCCTGGAGACATCTGCATTCAGTGGCAGAGGAGGACATGCAGGTGGTCAGGAAGTAAAAAGCGCTTACAAAGCAGCATATCGCAAGGGTAACAGCAAGAAAGCAGAGTCGTACAGAGAATCCAGAATTCAAGGAAGAGCCCCGTGTCTCGAGGGCCCGGCCTGAGGTGACTCTGGGGTGAGCCTGGGTCCCGCACATTGCAGATCAGCCTCCCCTCGTGTGAAGGGTTGTGACACAGACCCCCAAACAGTGGGCACGAAGGTCCTGGGCTGGTCACGGCGGGACCCCCTGAAGCTAGGAAAATGCAGGAGAGGCGGTGGTGACTCAGTTTAAACACCTTGGGAACCCATCCATCCTTGACACTTGACACTCCCTCCCCTAATCCTACCCCACTTTTCACAATCTTAATGACACCATTATTGGCTTAATCGGTATTTGTCCTGTGTCCTTCCCCCAGCCCCATTCCCCCCGTGAGGGCAGGGACCACACCTCTCGTGTTCACCTTTGGGTCCCCAGTAACCAGCCTGTTGCCGGGCACTTGGGTGGACTGACACACGGACGCCTGAACTGGTTTTTTCCCGGAGAAGGTGGGGTGTGAGTCAGGTGTCCAGAGAGGGCAGCGGGCCCAGGAAGAGGGGCCGCCCGGAGGCCCCCAGCTCACCTCCACGCTGCTCAGCCATGGCCGCACGGCCAGGAAGGACTGTCTGGCTGTGAGATCGTACATGACCACGACGCCATCGGCCTTGCGGAAGAACTGCTGGGTGATGCAGCGATACCTGCGCAAAGGGCCGGGTCAGGTGCGCGGCCTCCTCTGCCGCCACAGCCCGCCCCCACGGGGAGAGGAGAGGCGGGGTTACGGGGGGCGGCGCTCCTCACCTCTCCTGACCCGCTGTGTCCCACAGCTGCAGGGCCACCTGCGAGTCGTCCACACGCACGGTCTTCATGCGGTAATCGATGCCTGCGGGGGGAGCCCAGCATCATGTCCAAGTCTGGAACCCACGCCCCAGCCTGGAATCCCATCAGCCCGAGGGCGCTGCCCTCACCCTGCAGCTCCTGACAGGTGGTGTGCGCCGGGACAGAGCATTGGACCAGGAGGCCCGGGACCTGGCTTCTGGTCCTGTCTCTGCCACTGACCTGCTGTGGGACCTTGATCCAGTCACGGAACTTCTCTGAACCGCAGGCTGCTCACTGCAGTGTAATCCAGACCCTCTTTAGGGATCGAATGAGATCACATATGGAAAAGCAATCTACCAACGCAAAGAATTATCATTTACTCCCTCCTTGGGAAGATGAAGCGACAGAAAGACTGTCCTCAGATTCCTTCCTCCCAGCCTCCCTTTCCTTCTTTCTCCCTAAAATGCTTTTCAAAGTTCCCATAGTAAAATCCGAATATCCCTGGGGGATGGATCACACTTCCAGATTCCCACTGTGGTGATGCAAAGGTAGGTGGGGGACGAGGGTCGAGAGGGGAGGGCTTGGCAGGTGGAGGGAGGGACAGGAGAGAAGGAAAGCGGTGGGGGCGGGAATCAGAGGCAAAGCCCCCTTAGAGATGGAAACAGAGCTCCGAATCCCAGCCATCAAGCCACTTGCAATCCTCCCTCTGAGGCTGTGACCCTACCTGGAGTCATGGATCCCAGAGAGAGGGTGCAGGGCAGGCAGATCCCACAGCAGCCCTCAGACAGAGGACCTAAATGCAGGTGCTTTGATAACAAACATTCTACCCTCCTACACCCTGTGAGAATGTTCACAGATGCTCAACCAGGTTTAAAACGTTTTCCCCCCTTAAGGCATCCAATCTTGGAACCAGAGGGCATCCCCTCCCAACCTCTAAAAGGCCCAGCCTCTGGGCTCCTTACTCTGGAGGGCTCAGGTAGGGGCAGCAACAGCAGCCTGGCCAGATACAGACAGACAGACAGACTGACAGACAACCAAGAGGCAGTTGATGGAAAAGGGCATCCCTGCCACAGTCTCCAGGCAAAGGCGAGTGTGTGAGGGGCCGGGCAGGGGAGGAGAGATGGGAGGGTCATCTGCTCCTTAGCAGGACTGCAGAGGCCCTGGGCTCACAGAAGAGAGTCAGAGAGAGGATGCGCGTGTCTGCGTACGGAAAATAGGACGAGTCCCATTGGCAGAGCGCTTGGCATCCCCCCCGTTTCCACGTGCCACCTCTCCCTCCTCACCGTGCTCCCCTGGAACACCCATGTGCGGGTTGCTATCTGCACACGCACGCACACGCACGCACGTACCCATACTCACACGCGCACACATGTGCACCCCCCCTTCTCTTCCCAAACCATAGAAGGATAAAGAAGCAGAAGCCCAGCCTTGCCCAAGCTGGTCAGCAGCCTCAGTGAGCTGCAAACCCAGTTCTGAGGCTCATTCCTCTTTTCAGAGCAGTACCCTGGGCACGGGGCCCCTGGCAGCTTCGTTTCACCTAGAAAGTCCAAGGCTAAATGCTCCCATCCGAACAGATGGAAACCAAACCCAAGGGTGTTTTCTTAGCTAAAGCGGTAGGGCTTCTCCCATCTGTGCTCTGGGAGGCCGGGGGGCTGCCCACAGCCTGATAACAACCCAGGGGAAAGCCAGCCTCAGTCATCACACCTTCGGGGCCTGATCTGAAGCCCCCGAGGATGAATCCTCTCTCTGATGGAAAGGCAGGTGGTGGAGGGACGGCTGGGTCCCTCGACCTCACTGGTAATCGCTCTGCTGGTGGACGGGGAGCTTGGCGAGTGCCCGCTGGTCCACGAGGTACCCCTCCCTGCAGCCTCAGACCCACAGGCCGGGAAGCAGACGAACAAGCCCAAGGGATGCGTGGGGTTTAGGAGGACACGGGGAGTCAGCGTCCAGCAGAAGAGGCTGCACAGAGTGACGAGGGACCAGAGGGATTTCTGAGACCGCCCCCTGCCCCCGTTCCAACGGTCCGGGAGCCCAGACCTCATGTCCCTGCCTCAGTCCTGCCTCTGACCAGCTGTGTGACCTTGACGACGTGACTTGACCCCATCTGGGAGGCCTCGCTTTCCCCATCTGTAAACTGAGGTGTGACGGGGGTGCCGGAGGGAAGTTGGGTGTCCATGATTTTACGTCCAGCTGTAGCGTTCGGCAAACACGTGGAGGTGACCCCCGACTTGCAACCTCAGTGGTTCCTGAATGAGGACTGGACCTCGGGGGCCCCATCACCATGGAGTGTGCTGTGTGTGGGATGTGTGGGTCAGAGCTGTGGGTGATGGACCCCAGGAAGGGTGGCGTTCACCCTTCTGGACAGGACAGGTCATTCCAAGCAAGAGGGCTTGGGAGCGGGGAGTGCCAGCGAGATGTCCCGGAGGGGAAGCTCTCGGGATTTCTCTGTGGATTTGAGGAGAGGGAAGGAAACGGACTGGTGCCCAGGAGAGGGCAGAAGAAACACCTCGGGCCATGGGCCCTGGTTTAAAGCAGGGCCACGAACCAAGGCGGGGCCTCGGGAAGAGCTCTGGACTCAGAGTCCTGGGCTCTAGAGCCTTAGCCTCTAACAGTCAGTCTTCTCTTTGACAAAATGAGCTCCAACGTTCTGCACGAACCATCGTTTGCCGTCTGCAGGACACCCGCAGGGCCCACACACCTGCTTTACAAGGGATCCGCTGGTGCTAAGGTGGGGAAGGCGGGGCGCCCCAAGACAGGCTGTTGCGTCGTGGAAGCCACATCACACACAAGCCAAAGGTCGAGGACAGGTCACGTGCTCACGAGGGGGCTGGACGATCAGGAAGTCCCTTAGGTGCTAGAGGAGAGCTTTAAGGCATCGCCGCACCCCTGTTGGTGCTCAGGGTCCAGGGCTGCTGTGCCTGACGGGGGTTGGCCTGCTTGAGCCCCGGGAGCCCAGGACTCAGTGGCTCATCTGTGTCTTTAAAGGGAGCATCTTCCAGGTGGCTGGTGTGACATCAGCGCCCTGACACGTGTGCCGGGGAGGCTAATTCCAGCTGCTACTCTGGCTCGCTTTGCACAGCTCGATGAAGGGCGTCCCAGATTTGGAGACTTTGATATTTTTCCCCTTCCTAAATTGTAGGTGTTTCCATAATTGGCCTCCTGGGGAGTGCGAATTAGTCTGATTTTCTCTTTTTCAGAGCTTCCCATCTCAGGGGCACCAGCTGGAGGTGTAAGCAGACCCCGATTCCCTGATTTTACCAGCAGGAGAGGCACCATGTGCACTGCCGGAGGGCCGCCCCTGGGGTGTGCAGCATCCCTCCCCTGCTCCCACAGCCTATGCCCGAGCTGTGACCTCAGGTTCTGTGGCCACCCCATGGAACGCTCCAGGGAGGGCCAGTCCAGCTCTGCAGCCGCTGTTTCCTGTGTCACCACACTCGGCACACGGGGGTCACTCCTAGCCATCCCTTCCAGCCGCACAAGGCCAGGCTCTTCTGGGCCATCTTCCCATCAGAGTCCCGATTCTTCACCTTGGGATGCACCCAGTCTCTGGGTGGAATGGGGCAGGGGGTGGGGCAGGAGGGGGCTCCGGATTTGGAAACTGCAGAGGCTCAGCAGTAAGAACAGGGTGCCTACCGTCGTGGGAAGAGACCCATCTGTAGGAAGAAAGTTGGAAGGAACGGCCCATTCAGGTTATCCTGGAGGAAGAGACCAGACTCTCCCCAGGCAGACTCTGGGGCAGGAAAGTTTGTCTCAGATTGTCTTGGAGGGCCAGCTTGTGAGACCTCCAGGGGTCAGAGGTGGTCTGGACAGAGCCCTGGGCTCGGGAGCAGTCTTGGCTGGCCCGGTTCAGATCTCTCATTATTTTTCAGGTGAGGAAAAACTGAAGCCGAAAAGGAAACACCTCCTCCCGAGGTCACACAGCTGGTCGGTGGCAGAGCTGAGATGAAGGCCCGGGACCTCCGATGCCCCATTGGACCTTAGCGGCCTCCCCTGCCTGTGCCAGCCTCTGCCCGCTTCCTGTGGCAGAAGCTGGGCTCTGAGCACGCACAGCGCAATATTGTTAGGGAGGCAGTGGGCTGAGGTCAGCAGAGGTGCATGTGGGCTTGCGGGGCGGACCAGTATCAGCACGGCCAGCTGGTGGGAATGAGGACCCGCCTCTGGACCTGTTTGGGCCTCAGTGTCTTGGTCTGTCCATTGGGCTGATAGCAGTGCTTGCCTTTCGGGGTTGTTGGGAAGACAGATGGAAATGATAAATATCAAAACCCATGGTAAATATTCAGATCATATCAATGTATTTTTGTTTGCTTGTTTGGTTGTGTTTTTTTTTGCGGTACGTGGGCCTCTCACTGCTGTGGCCTCTCGCGCTGCGGAGCACAGGCTCCGGACGCGCAGGCTCAGCGGCCACGGCTCACGGGGCCAAGCCGCTCCGTGGCACGTGGGATCTTCCCGGACCGGGGCACGAACCCGCGTCCCCTGCATCGGCAGGCGGACTCCCAACCACTGCGCCACCAGGGAAGCCCGCAATGTATTTTAAATACAGTTGAGTTAGCGTGGTTAAATGGCACATAGAAGGCACCCAAAGGATTCATTTCTTTTTGCTCGAGTGATTCACCTTGGGAGAAACTAAAAGGTCAATATGCCCTTGGGTCTTCCCACATACTCCAATGCAAGGAGCACCTCCGGGTGAAGGGGCAAAGGCTCCTATCTAAATACAGAATTACCCGAGATAATAATGGAGGCGCATGAAGCCCTGATCAGCTATTAGTAGCTGAGCTTAACGAGTGTCTACAGTGGACTCCAGCCGTTACCCAGCGGGCCCGGGATGCAAGATGAGGAAATTTGATGGGTAAGAGAAGCCCCCAGGGAACTTTCCTCCATCCTGCCCGTCTATACAAGTGTGCGTGCACGCACGCACCACCCACACACCCACACACACCCACACACACACCCACACACACCCACACACCCACACACACCCCCCCCACACACCCACACGCACCCACACCCCCCCCACACACCCACACGCACCCACACCCCCCCCACACACCCACACGCACCCACACCCCCCCCACACACCCACACGCACCCACACCCCCCCCACACACCCACACGCACCCACACCCCCCCCACACACCCACACGCACCCACACCCCCCCCACACACCCACACGCACCCACACCCCCCCCACACACCCACACGCACCCACACCCCCCCCACACACCCACACGCACCCACACCCCCCCCACACACCCACACGCACCCACACCCCCCCCACACACCCACACGCACCCACACCCCCCCCACACACCCACACGCACCCACACCCCCCCCACACACCCACACGCACCCACACCCCCCCCACACACCCACACGCACCCACACCCCCCCCACACACCCACACGCACCCACACCCCCCCCACACACCCACACGCACCCACACCCCCCCCACACACCCACACGCACCCACACCCCCCCCACACACCCACACGCACCCACACCCCCCCCACACACCCACACGCACCCACACCCCCCCCACACACCCACACGCACCCACACCCCCCCCACACACCCACACGCACCCACACCCCCCCCACACACCCACACGCACCCACACCCCCCCCACACACCCACACGCACCCACACCCCCCCCACACACCCACACGCACCCACACCCCCCCCACACACCCACACGCACCCACACCCCCCCCACACACCCACACGCACCCACACCCCCCCCACACACCCACACGCACCCACACCCCCCCCACACACCCACACGCACCCACACCCCCCCCACACACCCACACGCACCCACACCCCCCCCACACACCCACACGCACCCACACCCCCCCCACACACCCACACGCACCCACACCCCCCCCACACACCCACACGCACCCACACCCCCCCCACACACCCACACGCACCCACACCCCCCCCACACACCCACACGCACCCACACCCCCCCCACACACCCACACGCACCCACACCCCCCCCACACACCCACACGCACCCACACCCCCCCCACACACCCACACGCACCCACACCCCCCCCACACACCCACACGCACCCACACCCCCCCCACACACCCACACGCACCCACACCCCCCCCACACACCCACACGCACCCACACCCCCCCCACACACCCACACGCACCCACACCCCCCCCACACACCCACACGCACCCACACCCCCCCCACACACCCACACGCACCCACACCCCCCCCACACACCCACACGCACCCACACCCCCCCCACACACCCACACGCACCCACACCCCCCCCACACACCCACACGCACCCACACCCCCCCCACACACCCACACGCACCCACACCCCCCCCACACACCCACACGCACCCACACCCCCCCCACACACCCACACGCACCCACACCCCCCCCACACACCCACACGCACCCACACCCCCCCCACACACCCACACGCACCCACACCCCCCCCACACACCCACACGCACCCACACCCCCCCCACACACCCACACGCACCCACACCCCCCCCACACACCCACACGCACCCACACCCCCCCCACACACCCACACGCACCCACACCCCCCCCACACACCCACACGCACCCACACCCCCCCCACACACCCACACGCACCCACACCCCCCCCACACACCCACACGCACCCACACCCCCCCCACACACCCACACGCACCCACACCCCCCCCACACACCCACACGCACCCACACCCCCCCCACACACCCACACGCACCCACACCCCCCCCACACACCCACACGCACCCACACCCCCCCCCCACACACACACACACACCCACACACACCCACACCCCCCCACACACACCCACACCCACACCCCACACACTCACACACCCACACACACATACCCACACCCACACACACACACACACACAGACACCCACACACACACCCACACACCCACACACACACCAAGGGAAAGTTGAGGAAGGGATGATTGAAGACAGGCTCAGAGAGGGTACAAAGGGCCAGGAGTCTATCTGTGCCAACTTCAGAGCCCCTCATCTTGGGCATAGGAACCGTTCGTGGTCCCATACCCGTGGAGCACCAGGCAGAGGGGGGCCTCGCCTACCAGCCCAGCCCTCAGCCCCTCCTATGGGGCTCCAGGTCCCTTCCTGGGCACCCTTCTCACAGCCGCCCCTTCCCAGAGGTGGGCTGGGGTCCAGCCCAGGGCCGAGAACTCACCCATGGTGGCTGCCGAACCCGGGGAGAACTTGCCGTCGCAGAACCGGCTCAGGAAAGACGTCTTCCCCACGGAGGAATTGCCCACAAACACGATCTTGAAGAGCCGGTCTGGGGTGGACACAGAGCCTTCCTCCTGTGGAAGACAGACAGCAGGGTCAAATGCTGGGACGGCCGCCTGCCACCCCTGTCCCTGACCTGTCCCTGCAGTGTCCAGGGAGGGACCCGCAACCAGCACCTGGGAGGCTGCTCGGGCCTTGGATGCAGGAAGCTTTGGGCTCAGCGCACCAAGGCTCCTTCCAGCTTCAGCAGCAGGAAGAGAGACTTTCATCCCACCACCACTGCTGCCCACGTGCTGTGCCGCAGGCCCTGTACTGGGCCGGGTGGGTGGTGCAGGGAAGGCGGCCACATATACACAGTCACGGCACGATGTTCTGAGTGCCCAGAGCATGGACCAGGAATCAAGGGTCTCGGGGTGCGGGGGCGCTCTGGGCTGGGGCTTAAGGAGGAAGCAGAGATTCTCTGCAGGGGTTGGGTGGGGAGGACAAGGTGGGGTGTTTGCAGGGGAAGGGGAGATATAGAAGATATAGAAGGCTTATCTATAACGCGGGGGCAGAGGCATCCCAGGCTGGGGTCGGGCCTCTCGTTTCTGCCCCGTCACTGAAAGCCTGGACCGGATGGAGGACACGCTCGCCTCCCTGCATACTGTCCTTCTGTCCCAGCTCACCTTCCATCTAGGGTCCCTGTCTGCCCTGGAAATAAGGCAAGACAGTCTCCACTCAGTAGCTTGGGAAATCCCAAGATGCCAGGCTACGGGAAGAACTTTCCAGACCACAGTCATGGTGGTCCTCCTCCACCCGGCAGCAGGACAGACTGGGAACTGGCCTGCCGGTTACTCTGGCGTGTACGGCCCAGCGGGAAGTGGACTTGCTCCAGGATGCTGGGTGAGTAAGAGGCAGAGTGAGGACCGGCACAGGGCCCTTCCTCCGGATGGTCATTAAGTCCAGAAAGCCGCGTGCTCCCCCGGCACTGCCAGGCCAGATGAGGAGGCTTTTTGGAATCTATTTGGAAGTGGATTTGGGGGTAATTAGCTCCTCTCACCGAGCAAATACTATAGCAGAGTAGCAGCAGATATTAGCAGTACTTGAATTTCAGAGAAAAGCCATTAACAGCCTTTTGGGGAGAAATCAATTCCATGCTGTACTTAGGAGGGAATTCAAGGTCAATTACAGAAACTTAAACCCAACTTAAAAAAAAAAAAAAAAAAAAAGAGAGAAACCCACACTCAGAAACGCTGCCCTGGCCCCAGTTTCTTTATTCCTGCGATGCACAAGCATCACTCTCTGCCAGGCTCGTGCTCCATTTGTCCTTTGTTTGAGACCAAAGCTCAGTGCAGCCATTGGCCCACCCCAGGCCCGGGGGCGGTGGGAGGAGATGGTCTCGGCTGCAGAGGCGGTGGCTGACCCTCACCCTGGCCCCCGCCTCCGGCAGGACACTTATTCCATAGACAGGATACGATCAACCCGGTGATGGTTCACTTTGGAGAAGGACCCACCTCACAGGAGCAGCGAAGCTATTCCAGTTCTTGCCCTTAACCTGGGGGACAATCCACCTGCCCGCGAACGACAGTGAGACAACAAAATTGTGGGGAGGGGCTGGAGAAAGGCTCCCTCCACTGGCAAGTCAGGGGATCTGTTCTCATCCTCCTTCCCACCACTGTTCTTATTTTTTTTAAGTTTTAAAAAATGAAAGTAATACATACTAATTTCTAAAATTAGGAAACTTAGCAGAGAGGAAATTAATGACTATTCATAATTTACCCCCCAACCCTGAAATGGTCACTATTCCTATTTGCATGCATTTCTTCCAGGCTTCTTCTTTTTCTTTTTTTGCGGTACGCGGGCCTCTCACTGTCGCGGCCCCTCCCGTTGCGGAGCACAGGCTCCGGACGCGCAGGCTCAGCGGCCGTGGCTCACGGGCCCAGCCGCTCCGCGGCACGTGGGATCTTCCCGGACCGGGGCACGAACCTGTGTCCCCTGCATCGGCAGGCGGACTCTCAACCACTGCGCCACCAGGGAAGCCCCAGGCTTCTTTTTTTATATAGATGAATCAATATATGTTTTTTGAGAGAAATTTGAGATACTATGTATACTTTATATTATTATACATAAGTTTATGTATAATTTTCTATTTGTTCCTATGTTATTGAATTATATATAAATATTTCTGAGTCACTGAAGTTTTCCAAAAATGTGATTTTTAATAGCACTATAACATTCTATTAAATTAATATAGTCTAATTATGTCCCTATTGTTGTTTTTTCAATTATTTGCTCTTATGTACTTACATTCTTGAATTAAATTTTTGTCTGATTTTGGTTATTTCCTTAAGAAAGGTTGCTAGAAGTAGGAGGGCTGTTTCAAAGGAGGTGGACTTTTAAAGTTCTTGATTCCTATTATCAAACTACTTTCCCGAAAGCTGGTACCAACTCATGGCTCAGCGGCCTTGCAAGGGACCCTCTGTTGAGGCTGCTGTGTGACTGACTTCCAGCAGACACATTTCCTCTCTGCTGCAGTTTCTGTCCCAGCTAAACAGCAGCGCATCCCGGTGCAGCCGGTGGGGATGCAGAGCGGTGGGTGCGAAGGCTGGGCTCCCCTCACTGCGGGCTGGGTGGGCCTCCTCGCTCTCTGCTCTATTTCCCCTCCCACCTAAGGGGAGAACAGATCTCTGACGCCCGTCCTCCAACAATCGCAAGGATCAGGCGCCGCGGCAGACACGGACGCTCAGCCTCTTCCTTCACGCCGTCTCCCGTGGCCCTCTTAACACTTCTTTCACATCTGGGGGGCTATCATGGGGTATTTGAAGCCCCATTTGTGCCCACTGCCAGCAAGTGTAGTCTGTGCACTTTTGGGGATGTAGAAGGGGGTGTAGGGGGGATGCCCCACCCACCAAGGGCCTCTCAGAGGAGTGGTTTGTAGGCATGAATCTTAATCCAGGCCCAAGAATGATAACCGAGGCCAAGAAGTCCCCGTGCAGGGGCTGGAGAGGGCTCGCTGGCATGCACGCCAACGCCTCACTCGGACCGCTCAGTTCTGAAGGCCGCCACAGGGTGAGGGAACTGTTCTAGAGGGTCCAGCGGCGGGCAGGGGGAGGGCTGAGGGGCCAGTTCCAAGGCCTGGGTCACAAACAAGGTAAGGAGTATCACCTGTGATCCAGAAGAGGACGGTCCGCGCGGCCCCCTTCTCCCAGGGAACTCAGCAGGGGGAGCTGGTGGGGGACGCGGGGATGGAGGGTAGGAGTGCAGCGTCACACTGCCGGGCGGGTCGAGCTGATTAGGAACCGAGAGAAAAGCGATGATGCGCAGACTTCCCCCGCAGGGGCTGGCCTGCAAGGGGCGGTTACAGGACGGACCAGAAGAGGTACCATTTTTAAAGCGTGTGATAGCTGACGCTAATTGCCCAGCAGAGGCTCAGTCCTACCCTATAAATGCAGAATCTGAATCAGAAAAAAACGCATAGGGACCAACAACAGAAGTTGTTAGGAGAGTGTCCCCAGAGCCCCAAGTCTCCTTCATGACACTCAGCAGAGCAGAGAAGGGTGGTACCCGAGGGACACAAATTTGGTGCATCACCAGGCCTGCTGAGTCTGGCTTCCTGAGTGGCCTTGGGGCTCTTGGGCTCACACTCGAGGGACAAGGCACAGGGTGACCTACAAGCCAGTGTGGGATGCACCCTTACCTTTGACGGGGTTTCTTTTCCGACGGGCTGCCCTCGGGGAGACGCAGGCGTGAGTCCCAGAGGCCGGGACGGCCCGATTTGTCCCTCCACCCCGTGGTCGGAGGCCTCCCCTTCTTCCAGGCATTTGCCCAGTGGCTGCTCAGAGCCGCCCCCCAGCAGCTGGGGCAGCGGGTCCTCTTCAATGGAGATGATTCTGCGGAGCGGCCGGGGCAGCAGACCCCCGGTCCCCAGCCCCTCTTCTGTAAGGGGGCACCCACTCAGGCCCAGGGACCTTCTCCTCAGGATGCCAAACACGTCATCTTCCTCCTCTGACTGGCTGTTTTGGAGAAGAACGAAGAGCGGGGAGAATCTTGTAAAATGTGTCTGAATGGAAGCTGGGGGTCTGCGACAGACAGTTGAGGAGCACACTTTTGGGGGCAGAGAGGAACCAAGAAAGGGAAAACCAGACCCAGCATTGTTTAGCTCATTCATTCAATGTCCTTATGATGAAGATGAGATGAAGGCGAAGGTGATGATGTGGGTGAAGGGGATGATGATGAAGGTGGTGAAGGTGATGATGTGGGTGAAGGAGATGATGATGAAGGTAATGCTGGCTCCCAGGTATTAAGCTAATGACAGTCAGCAACAGATGCACACAGCCCCCGTCTTCGTGGAGCGCCTGGCTTAGCAGGGCTAGAGCAATCATGACACACTCACTACACTGTTCCAGATTGTGGCAAGTGTCACAAAGGAGAAGTAAAGGTGTGAAGAAAGGAGCATAACAGACGTGGAAACAAAGCATCCTGGGTTAAAGGTCGGTGGCCTTTGCCCTGGTCCCATGCCAGCCCTTACCAGCTGTGTGTCCCCAGGTAAGACACCGACTCTCCAGGCCTGTTTCCTCACCCTTCCGCCCTGCCCAGTAAGCCAGTGCACAAACCAGACCTGTTAGGGAAGCAGCCCTCAGGGATGCAGGCGAGGGGGACCACTGCTCTGGGAGGGACCCCGGCACGGCAAGCGTCCACCACCAGCTCAGGGTGGGAAGGAAGCCCTCCACCCGCTTCTCCTTCCTTTCTCCTTAGGATCAGGAGTGAGTGGCCTCAGAGGCCTGAGTGCACATTTGCCTCCAGAAGCACCTGAGCATCCAGAACAAGGAGAAACAGCAGGGGGTGTGCAGCAGTCGGGCACCAGACGTGGGTCCAGGGCACGGGCTGTGTCCCCAAGGTTTGTGAGCAGAGGCCCCACGGGCCCTCCTGGTGCGGCCTCCTCTCAGGCCTTTATGAACAAGTCAAGCTGAGGACTGTTTTACGGGGAGGAACTTGAGTTCAGAATCGAAACACACACACACTCGAGAACTAGAAAATAGAGCAGGATGTGGTGGTGAGGCGAAAGCGGGCGACGGACACAGAATATGCAGAACAGGGAAAGCCCCTTCACTTTGTCCCAACTCCCGCCCCCCGGCTCCTAGTATTTCCGGCCCCTAAGGACCAAAAACAGAAAAAAAGAGAAAAAAATGCATGTATCACTGTTCTGAACTCCGGACACTTCTGAAAGATAAATTAAGGTATAACGCTTGCTCACAAAAGTGCTGACTTAGTTTGGATCCCTTGATATAAAATAAAGGATTTGTAGCAATTCAAAAACTCTTACACTTATTTATAAAATCAGCTTTTTACAGAAACTGACTGCCATCTTTCCAACAAATTTCTTCTCCATTCTGATGAGCCTACTAAGTGCCTAGCCACTTCAGCACACAGTTAGTGTTCCCATCTGCTTTCACTCTGCTCACACACGAGTGCACATGTGTGAGCACGTGTTGTGAGCAAGTATGCACACACATACATGCTCCGCACGGATGCAGAGCATGGCTTTTCAAAGGCCTAGAAGTAGAAAAGAAATGGACACTGAAATGACCCTAAATGAAGCGTTTCTTGGCAAAAGCTTCTTACTTGGGAAATTCTCAAGCACTATTACATTCTGGAATACGTTCAGCTTAGCATGGCTAAGCTCCTTTTTGGTTTTGCCACCAAATGCTATGTACCAGCGGCAGACAGCAGTCACCTCTGACAAAGTCTGCATGGGAATTCGGGGTTTGCAATTTATCGATTACTCATCAATTATCGTCTGTGTCCTCCACTCAGTTATAAGCTCCATGAAAGCTGAGATGGGGTCTATTTTGTTCACTCCGTATCCCCAGCACACGGCACTGAGTCTTGTGCACAGCGGGCACTCAGTAATGGATATTAAGGGCAGGACTCGTGTCTAATTGATCTTTGGAGACTTCCCAGAGCTCAGAGAATGTCAGGTACAGAGTAGGCAATCGGTCTCTGCTTGTTGGAAGCACATATTCCATTCCGAGAAACCAACAGGTGAACTGTTGCTGCAGGAATTTGGCTCCCATGTTGTGCCTCCTGGTTCAGCGATTTAGAAGAGGAGTTCACGATGGTCAGGTTCAAGGTCTTGAGCCATCAGCGGATTGACATCCCCAGGTCACCTCCGCTTGGCATGTCTGTCTATTTCATGCTTGCTGTCCCCAGGTTCTCCTGGATGAGCAAGTTCACACACTTTGTCCCGGGTTTGATACTTGGGGATCTGGCAGCCTCCACCTCTCTGTGGCCATCCATGGGAAGAAACACGTGCCCCAGAGAAGATAGGGCAGGGGTAGGGGCGGGAGGCTGGCGTGCCTCCTTCGGGGAGCAACAGGCCACCCCTCTGGGGACTTAAATTCAATCGTGTGCTGTCCAACAACAACCAAGCATGTTATCCCTGAGTTAATTAAATATGAATTATCGAAAGGAGTCTGTCAAGTACAGGCCCCATTCTCATCTGTAAAGGACTTCAATGGTTGGAGATTCCGTACTACACTCTAATTACCCTTCAGACTCACGTAGTCAGTCCTGTCCCTGGGAAACCAAAAGCATCCATTCTGCTCAACAGACAGCAGAGCCCGGCCCAGCACCCACTCCCTCCCTCTCTCTGACCCCTCATCCTCCGACCCCCTCTGTCCCTCCCCTGATCTGCAGCCCCTCTTCAGCGCCCCCTGGCAGGAACGGCCTAAGTGCTTGCCCTGCACCTAGATGTCAGAACAGGAAGGCACGCGTCCTCCAAGACTCAAGGAGAGCGATAGTGGCTGACCCCAGGCTTCCAGCCAGGGCCAATCTGCACTCAGCTTGGGCTCAGAGCCTGCTCCCAACCTGGCAAGACCAAGGAGCAGGTAATGAATGAGCACAGCAGGGATGCCTTACCTTCTGAGCATCCCTCCGCCATCCACGTATTTGCCGATCACAGAGCCAGATCGCTGCTTCTGGCTTGCCTTGGAAGCAGCTGTGATTGCCTTGGCTGCCTCGTCTTTCTGTAGAAACACAAAATGCCCTCAGATCCGCGCCTACTGATTTGTCCCAACGCTGGAGCAGAGAAGGGCTCAATTTCCCCACCTCATAGTACAGGCTTGAAATAAAACTCTAAAGGAAGCAAGCGATGGCCTGGGCTCCCTGCTAGCCTTCACCCACTCTTCCCTTTTGCTGTCATCTCTCACCATAATTCCTCCATCTCCCGTCTAATAAGCTAATCAAAGTTTCGAGCCTGGGGTCTGCCAGGTTACCCTTCCCAGGAGTAGTGATAATTTGCAAGAGGACAAGCTAAATGTGGGATGCATAGCAAAAATATTTATGGGCAGAAAAAACTCTGTGCATATTTAAATCACACACACTCTTCAGTGGGGTTTCAATCTCTTTATTTCCAAACCCCCAGATAGGAGGATCAATGAACCCAGAGCCTTGTCCACAGCTACGAAGCTAGGACAGGGTATTTCAGATCTTTTGTGGAGTAGGCTGGCTGTAGGTAAATCGCTCACATATCTGCAGTGGAGAGACTGGGTGGAGTGGGGGGCTTACACCTGCCTCGCCAGGGCTCCCCTGACAGATGTCTTCCAGATAAGTGGGGGTTAGATCACAGGAAGAATCTCTCATTAACCAGCCAGCCCCGTGGTTCCTAGGGATCCTTCCTGAAAGAAGGAAGGGTTGCAGTGCTCCCAGGGCCCCCACAGGTATGGCTGTGATCCCAAATTAATCTTTAATTGTGATTCGGCATGAACATGATTTTACGCCTCTTTCTTCTATTACCCACAAGGGTTCTTATTCCCTTAATGCCATCCCCTTCTCAAAGCAGAATGAGTTTGGCAGGTAAAGGGAAGCCAGGTCAAGGGATTAAGGTGACATTTGTTAGGAAGTTTTAAAATAAATTCAGTGTTACTTCTTAAACAATTATAACCATTACCACCATCAAACAAACATGTGTAGACTTAAGCCTTGCTCTGATAGTACACATAGGTGGGCGGCAGAGACATGTTGCTGACAGCCAGTGGTAGAAAAGACATTGTGATGTACAAGGTCCCTAAAGGATCTGCACTTATAAACTAGGTTGCACCGAATCCGGGACAAACTAGCTGCCGTGTACTGACCACATTTAGGGCACTGAACAGCTGAGGGTCCAGCGCAAGACCTTCCTTTCCAAGAGTTTTTCACACGCACAAAAATCCCTACAGTATGGAAAAAAGGATAGAGATTCTCTTTCCTCATATGATAATGGGGGTCATGGCCCAGGGAGGCTAATGATTTGCCCGAGGACACACGTGAAATTCACCGTGCGATAATCCTGATAATCAGAATGTCACATCAATCCATCCTGCCCGCCTTTTCCTTCCCTTCAGAGCTTCCACAGCTACTGTCTAAAGGGGAGGATGTTAGGGGAATGAGAAATCCTAGATTCTGTTTAACGCAGCCGGAAGTGAAATTCTTTAAATAAATACAGGATTTTCGTGCTATTTGGGAAAGTATGTAAGTGTGGCACTCAGGTTCAGAGAAGCATCGGTCCCCATAGGGTAAAAAAATTGTACATAAAATCAACTATGTAGATGGTGAAATATACTTTTTTTTTTTTTTTGCGGTACGCGGGCCTCTTACTGCTGTGGCCTCTCCTGTTGCGGAGCACAGGCTCCGGACGCACAGGCTCAGCGGCCATGGCTCACGGGCCCAGCTGCTCCGCGTCATGTGGGATCTTCCCGGACCGGGGCACGAACCCGCATCCCCTGCATCGGCAGGCGGACTCTCAACCACTGCGCCACCAGGGAAGCCCGAAATATACATCTTTAATTCTTTCCACAACAGTGTAAAAATGAAAAATTTTCATCAAGCAATCAAAATGTTAATGAAGAAAACTGAGCATTTTGGTTTAAAAGCGATGGTGCCATTTCCACTGCATCGTCTCATGGATGGAACGATCATTTCTACATCCAAGAAATGTGGGACCCTCCCAAGTATCCCAATCTCGTGATGCCAAGAGGAAAGTGTGTCACTTCACGGAAAATTAATACACTATGACCCTATAGGTCAACTTGAATTTTTGCTATTTTCAAAAAATCTTATGCCACCGTCCTGCCCACACAAAGGAGTAACCAGATTCCAAGCCTCAGGATCTTCTTGGGCCAGTCCCAGTGCAGGTCTGGCTGCCACTGGACCCCAGTCTTCGTCTTCCCCCAGGGGAGGGGGCACTGGCCAATTACCTGAAAACATATGTCCCGTTCATCCCGAAGATGCTTGTTCCTTTCCCTGCGGATGGAAAAGGGGAATCTATTCAAACATGGGGCTTGCAGTCAACAGATCCAATAGCATTGGTTTGACGGTCAGATGGGTACGGAGCAAGGCCGGGCACGGAAGGCCCGGGGAGGGCGTGGAACCACTTTCCTTAGGGATTGTGGCTAAGGACAGAGGGTAATTGTGTATAAGTCAGGTCAGAGGCAGGGGGATACACAGAACGGCCTTGTGACACCCAGGGCCCTTCAGGACCCTGCATTGGTCCATCTGATCACTAAGGGAGCCTTCCACAGAGCTGATCAGGTGTCCCAGCTCCGCCTTGAACTTGCGGTGGCCCCCCCCCTCCTCTAAACCTTTCATTCATGAGTGCACGTGTGCCTGCATGCCACACGTGTCTCCCTGAGCTCGCACTGTGTGCCGGGCACGGCTCCAGCTGTCAGGGCTACATCAAGGAATGGAAGAAAAAGTTCCTGCGCCCAGGGCATTTGTATTTCATTGCTACTGAGAAAAATAAAGTGGGAAAGAAGTGGCATAAAGAGGGCCAGAGATGGAGGATGGTCAGGGAAGACCTCACTGAGGAGGTGGCATCTGAGCAGAGGCTTAAAGGGTGCGGAGGCGGGAGCCCAGCAGGGATGGGGGAGAGCGTCACAGGCGGAGGGAACGGCAAGGGCAGGGCCTGGGGTTGGGAGACACGTGGTGTGCATCCAGGGGAACGGAAACGAGGGAGCGGATGCTCAGAGTGAGGTCAGAGGAAAGATGGGGGAGGTGGGGATCTGCCATCCCCTGCCTGTGGGCCACTGTCAGAACTCCCAATGAGATATGAAGCCATGGGGGGTGGGCTTTGGCCGAGGAGTGTCCTGACCTGACTCAGGTTTTAAAAGGAGTCCTAGAAAGGCTGTGCTAAGAGTGATGTGCTGGGGACAAGGATGGGGCCCTGAGAGCTGGCCCATATTTTAAGCAACGTGGAGGTCATTGGCTCCTCGTTCGGTGGAATAGGAGGAGAAAAAGCCTGGTGGGGGGTTGAGGATGCGAGGCTGGGAAATGGAGACGGCCGAGTGTAAATGGAAACAACTCTTGGGAAAGTTGGGGAGCCACGCCTTTGTCTCTTGTCTCCTGGAGCATCTCCATGCAGAGGCTCCGATAGGCAAGGGAATGTTCTGCTCTGTACATGTGTCCTCTGTCCTTCATGGCACCGCTCTGTAGCGACGGCCGCGCACAAGTCACCCAATTCTCCCAGGAAGCCTGCGACACAGGCATGTCCAGGTTGTTGACAACTGCTCAAGGTTGCACAGGTGATGAGGGGCTGGGCTGAGTCCGGAACCAGATCCAGCTCCAAAGTGCACGTTCCTACCAAGCGCCCTGAGACTGCTTCAATGTGCCTCCATTTCCCTTAGGACGGCAGCCCCCCGCCACTGGGTCACACCCCGGCCATGGTTCCGATCCCTCCCCCCCAACAATTCCCGCTGTCCTCCCACCCCACCTGCTCCCAGCTCCCTCTCTCTCTCCCTGATGCCCATTTCCCCCGGCTCTCTGTCTCTACCCGGAGATCTCACTGTGGAGGAAGAGTCTGCCGTGGGCTCTCCCGCCACATCTGGGCTCTCCCCGGCTCGCTCGGGGGCCAGGCGACAGCACAGCAAGGTTCAGGCTGGGATTCTGCGCAGACGCTGGTCTCCGTGAAAAAGACCCCCAAGTGTTGGCAGAGTGCTGCCTTGTCACCCTCCCCTGCGCCTTCACACTGAATCTGCCCCTGTATTTTTTTCTAAGTACAATAGAAAAAAGGGGAAAAAACCAACCAAACTCGTTCTTGTACATCTTATTCTCTGCCTTCACTAAAGCCTTCCTGAGAATCCACACCTTCTCTCACAGGGATTAAAACTTGGCCCCTAAGAACCACTTCCATCTCCCTGGCCTTTGGAATCACATCTTGAGGGAAACAAATCTGAAATGCATTCAGTTTGAAGAACTTTTCTATTTGGTGGCATCAAAGATGCCAGATGCAGTGATCTTACCTTGCTTTCAAATTAAAAACAAAAAACAAAAAACAAAAACGTAAAAACCTTCAAAAGGTACCCAATTCAAACCCACCTGCACTTTAAAAATCAGGACCCAAATTTCATCACTATTCCCCAAGAGGTGTTTGACAGGCAGCAAGTAGAGTAACCTGGAAAGCTCAGAGGCAAAATTGAACATTCCATCTTTCCCCACACCCGTTTGGGTTTGGTTGTTCTTTTAGGGGGGATAATCCAAACCAAACCGATGAGCTTTGAATTTACAGGTAGTTGAACAGGCTGAGGACACTCCTAACGCCCTTCTTGCTGCTCTGATTGTGATTCATTTACTCATTCAACAAACATGAACAGAATACGGCCGAATAAAGAGCACCAGCCAGCTGTGGACTCAGTTCCGGCTCTGGCAGCGAGCGCCTGGGTCACTCTGGTAAATTACTCCATCCCTCTGATATCAGCTGCCTTGATGGCTAAGCCCTGTGTTAACAGCTGCCCTGCCTCCCAGGTTTTGCTGCAGATGAAGGAGATACTACCCTCTGGCGTGGACTAGACGCTCCACGAGCTCAGCTCTTCTACCGAGCAAGTGCCGTGCCAGGTACCAAGCAGGAGGAGGCAGCGCCTGCCTGCAGAGGTACAAACTGGAGAGGGGGGTGGGCACCTGTGTAAATGGACCAAACATAATGGAGAGGTGGTGCTCAGCTGTCCAACGGTATGTGGGGGACCAGGGAAATGTGGGTGCTCCCTCAGCAGGCAGGGGAGACTCTGGGGGTGCCCCTTCCCACCCAAGGCTCTGGGATGCGGACGCACCTTAGGAAATCCAGCTGTTTCAGGAGCCCTGACTTCTCCCGCTGCAGACTCTCCGTGACGCGGTACACTTCCCTGCAGGGGATGCAAGACATCAGTGATGAGTGACATGTGGGGGGGGGGCGGGATGCAAGACGGCAGTGATGAGTGACATGTGGGGGGAGGGGGTGCTACCAAGGCATGAGGCAGTGATGAAGCTGGACCCGGAAGGTGGTGCCCGGGCTGGCCTTCCGCTGGAGAGCACGGCCTCGTGCAGGCCTTATAGCCAGGTCTCGCCAAGTCGTCTCAGACACCCTATTTGGAAGGTGAAATGATCCCTGTTTTTTGGGGGGTTTTTTTTGCGCTACGCGGGCCTCTCACTGCTGTGGCCTCTCCCGTTGCGGAGCACAGGCTCTGGACGCACAGGCTCAGCGGCCACGGCTCACGGGCCCAGCCGCTCCGCGGCACGTGGGATCTTCCCGGACCGGGGCACGAACCCGTGTCCCCCGCATCGGCAGGCGGACTCTCAACCACTGCGCCACCGGGGAAGCCCGATCCCTGTTTTATAGACACAGATAGTCAAGTAGGTTTGATAACTCTCCCTGGCAACCCAGGACTGAGCCAGGGTCCTAATCTAGACCCCCGACTCCCTGTCCCAAGGATACAGCTTGATGATGACTGCACCGTTTTCTCAGGCTCCCAGTGGTCCTGCCCCGCCCCCACCTGAGGTCAGGGAATCAGAATCAATACTCTTCTCCAGCCCAGCCTCGGAAGGTGAGAGCAGAGCTGGTGTTTCTCCCTCCCCCCGTCCCCCCCCATGCTGGTTTAGTTTGTATGCAGGAGCTATTGAAGACCTATCTTTCCTTCCCCACTTTCCCCCAACAGTCTCCAATCTGTTCCCGGAGATCTGGAATTTCCACTGTTGCGCATTCATTTCTTTGACTAAAATTTCTTATCTCTAGCTACAAAGCAGAGATTTAATGTATCAATCATAATCCGTCATTTACATCACAGTGTGAGCGTGCCAATCATAGGAGTTTTGAGGAAAGGGAGAGAGAAGCTGAGACACACACAGGGTGGCTGGAGAGCAACTCAGGCTGCAAGGCAGGGGGCTGTGTGTACTTTGTTTACATCTGTATCCTCGACACAGTGGCTGGCTTGGAGGTGCAGTCAACAAATAGCAGTGGGAAGAGAAAAAAGAGAGAGGGCTAAAGGAGGGGCAGGGAGGGCAGATGGCAGGGATGGAGGGAGGAAGAGAGCTGGAGGGGGAGGGGGGGTTTGGGAGGAAGCCAGCACCACTCAGAGGAGAAAGGAAAAAAAATAAAGCAGGGCTTCCCTGGTGGCGCAGTTGTCGAGAGTCCGCCTGCCGATGCAGGGGACGCGGGTTCGTGCCCCGGTCCGGGAAGATCCCACATGCCGCGGAGCGGCTGGGCCCGTGAGCCGTGGCCGCTGAGCCTGCGCGTCCAGAGCCTGTGCTCCGCAACGGGAGAGGCCACAACAGTGAGAGGCCCGCGTACCCCCCCAAAAAAAAAAAAAAAAAAAAAGCAGAATGGGGTGATGTTGGAAAATAAACCTTGCTTAACTGCACAGCTCTACTTCCATCGTTCCCTCTGTGATCTGCACCACAGTTCAGAGATTTTAAATCTCCCCCAAGCTTACTGCAAAGGGTCCCATATTTCCAAGCCACAGTCTAGTAAATGCGTCACTGCCACGGGCTGTCAGGGCTGCCTTGACTGTGCGCAGGCTGAGCTGCGTAAGGACGGTCCCCCGGCAAAGCCCATCCACGTCACCACGAGCTTGCTGGGGCCACAGGACTTGCAATCGCCTTATTCCTTGAGCGGTATCTGTGGGGTTTCCCCCTTTATAGCAGAATTATAAAGTCACTTTGAGACAGTAACAGACTGTCTCAAATTCCAAGTTCACCTCAGACGATGCTTATTAAGTAACAGAACTTCTCTGGCTCCTGCAGAGCTGCAAACTCCCAACATTTTATTACCAATTATATTTAATGTCAACTGGAGGGAAAACAATGTCTTCCCTATTATCCAACCCGGGTCCCTAAACGCCGTCTGGGACTCTGCTCCGATGGGCACCAGGTGAGGACAGCTGTCTGGTCGCAGCCCGGCGCCCTGGGAGCTCAGGTTACCTGCGTCCGGCTTTGGGACTCCGCCACCCCCATCCCGGGTCCTGCTTCTTCGTGGGGCAGCCAAAAGCAGAGGGCTTTCCCCACTGAGGACAGTCACTCACACCGGAGACCTAACCTAACAGGTCCTCACAGCGTCTGACCGAGGCAGCAGTTCCTCCACAACCAAGAGGACCTCTCACTCCAAGCCTCCTCTGGCCCTGCTTACAAGGCACCAGGGACCTTGGCACCGTGCACACACGCACATATACACACACATACGTGGTATGTATCAGTGCAAACCTATGTCTGTTTGTCTAGTAGACACACATCTGTCTAAACATGCACACATATGTATATTCAGATAGATTTTTTTGTGTTAACAAATAGAAAAGCATTTCCGCAAAAAAAAAGACACTTGGATATTTGACAAAAATGACCTTGAAAGTCCTTCTAACCTTGATGTTCTACGAGTTTATGTCTGGCTAACAGGTGAAGTGAAAGGAACAGAACTTGCCATTTTGCGGTAGTAACTGGTGAGAGGTTTATGGCTGCTGGGAGGGAAGGGCTGTTTGCTGTGTTTTTATGAGGAAGAAAGAAATATGGAGCGTTCTCCAAAGGATCCGTCAAGTGGAAAATGCAGGCTAATGTAGAACAGTGCTGTTGCTTTGTAAATGAAGTGCATGTGTGCGTGTCTGTGTGTGTCTGTGTGTGTGCACACATGTTTGTGTCTGTGTGTCTCTGTGTGTGTGCACACATGTGTGCCTGTGTCTCTGTGCCTGTGTGTGCGTGTCTCTGTGTGTGTGTGTGTGTCTGAGTGTTTGTGTGTGTCTGTGTGAGAGTGTGTCTGTGTGTGTGTGTCTGTGTGTGCGTGTGTCTGTGTGACTGTGTGTGTTAATGTGTCTCTGTGTGTGCGCACACATGTGTCTGTGCCTGTGAGTATGTGTGTCTCTGTGTGTGCGTGCGTGTCTGAGTGTGTGTGTCTCTGTGTGAGAGTGTGTGTCTGTGTGTGTGTCTGTGTTTGGGTCTGTGTGTGTGCACGTGTGTGTGTGTGCGCACGCGCGCATGTACAGGACACTCTGGAAGGATCCACAAGGAGCCAGGACTGGTGCCCTCTGGGTGACGGGAGGCTGGGAGTCAGGGGGTGGGGGGCAAACCTCTTTCTGCCACATTTCGTGCCTTGTCATAAACCACCTCTCCCCCAGATACAAGTTAATTAACAAAATAGAGGTGTTGCCTTCCAGCCGACCTTCATCTTTATATTGTCTCCCCTGCCTGATTGCTCCTTCTTTATCTGATTTTAAACTCTAGTTCTCCTTCCTTGGGCATCTTCAGAGAACAGGAAAATTCATTTTGTCCATTCAGAACTCCAGATGATACATGACGGGGTCTGTTGATCTAGAGGCCCACTCCCCCCGCTCCCAGCAGCATCCGGCAGCTGGACATCATCGGGGAAGCACAGGGTTTCAGAAGGACAAGGCTCTGACCTTGTTTTCTGACACTAACTAGCTGGGTGGCTGCGGGTTGCTCACTACCCCTCTCTGAGCTTGTTTTTCATTTGTGAAATGAAGAGGTGGGTTCCAGCACAAAGGTCCTGTCAGCTCTGCTGGTCTGGGATCCTGCTCTACGGAGGACAAGCTAAGCCTCTCCCTGCCCTTCTCTCCGGGCCGCTCTGGACGAGACACGCTCTCCTGGGCTCCAGCAGGTTCCCCAGCGGCACATGCTGCTGCAAGCTTCTTATTGAAAAAAAGTCACGGAGGTTCTGGACTCATTTATCTCTCCCTCCTAACCCTCCTTCCCTCTTTTTCAATTCCCAGCCTCCAGAGATTGTGTGTCTGGCTTGCTTAACTAAGATAAGACTTCAGAAAGATTTTAATCCTCACGCTGTGCCGGCTCCGGGGCTCATTTCCATTTGCCGTTCTCATGCCTGTGCCTTTCAGATGTTTGTCGCTTTCAGGACTTGATTGAATTTTAAGAGCCTGACTCCTTAATTCTGTTTATAAAGTTAAGCACCTGGTTGACCTGATCTCAATGGGGAGGGACCGATTTTGCTTGTTTACAATGAAATATACTGTCCTTCCACCGGGCATCCAAGCCTTGGAATGGAGGGGTTGATTTTACTTTAAGTCAGCTGCTTGGGAAGGCATATCTTTTTCAACTGGAGATGTCTTCCTAGGGTAAAACTCCAAATCCAAACACATCCCCTCCCTCTCACTCTAGATCATTCCTAAACAGTACAGGACATCACACATGAGGCAGATAGCAGAACAACTTTTTTTTTTTTTTTTGCGGTACGCGGGCCTCTCACTGTTGTGGCCTCTCCTGTTGTGGAGCACAGGCTCCGGACGCGCAGGCTCAGCGGCCACGGCTCACGGGCCCAGCCGCTCCGCGGCATGTGGGATCCTCCCGGACCGGGGCACGAACCCGCGTCCCCTGCATCGGCAGGCGGACTCTCAACCACTGCGCCGCCAGGGCAGCCCCAGCAGAACAAACGATTTGCCAGCGGCCAGAGTCAGGGCTTTTGAACAAAGAGAGTTAACACATGTAAAACATCAAACATTGGTAAGACTGCCCTGTTTTTGAAATCAGACTTTATACCTTACCTCACCCAGGACCAGGCACCCAGGTTTTGCAGAATGACTACATGAGTCCTCGAACAAACGAGTGAGTGAAGGGTGGCTAGTCCTAAGTCCTGGGCACAGATTTTCCGTCTGACTCATTTGTCACTGTGGGGAGTCAGCAGCATGTGTCCAGCACTTAGCATCTCAGGACAGGTACTTAACACCTCTGAACCTCAGTTTCCTCATCCATAAATTAGAGTTGATAACAACGGTACCTGGCACATCAGGATGCTGAGAAGGTCAGATGAGATAATGTCAGAGTTTCGACGTAAGTGAGGTACGCTGAGTGCCCAAGACAGTGCTGAAAGCACTGAGTAGCTTTCAACAAATGTTGCTGATGTGAATCCGCCAGTGAATGCACTGGTACACGGATGAACAGATAAGCAAGTGAGATTCCGGGGCCTCAGAGAGCCCTTGTCCTCAAAGCCTAACACTCCTCAGACCGATTCCTCAGTGACTTCTCTGGCTCAGGTGCAGACCCAGCCTTGGACTGTTCCCAGGGGCACCTCCATCCAGCAAGCCAAACCCAATGGCTGGATGCCTAAAGTAGTTATCAGCAAACCAGTCCCCAAAGACGTGGGGCTGCCCACACAGGGCCCACACAGAGGAAGGCTGAAAAAGGAAGGAAAAAGAGGAAGGAATAAATGGGCAGAACCGGTGTGAAGCGTCCAGGGCACTGTCACACGCCCTGTCGAACTACATGCTGACCTCGGAAGTCTTCCTGGCCCACCCCGTTCTCCCAGGTCTCCGAACCATGACAGTCAACGTCTGGTCTTTCCACTCACTCAGGATTTTCCCCCAGACTGCCTCCTATTTGCTGGTTGGATAACGTCTTTCTAATCACATAATAAATTTTCTGAGAATGAGGCTGTATGTTTCTTGTCAATCCTAGGTAGTGCTCGGCACAGAACTGGTCTGCTTCATAGTCTCAGAATCCTAGAAGGTTAGAAGAGGTCCCAGGGACCAAGGAGCCCCATCCCCATGTTATGAGCAAGGAGAAGGGTCTGGGGGGCGGGCTGACACGCTCACAGCAGGGGACGGACCTGGAGGGCACAAGGGTGTCACTCACATCTCCTTCTCCTGGTGGAGTTTTCGGGCCTCTTGCTGGAGGCTTTCCAGCTGCTGCTGGGCATCCTGCAGCTCCCAGGACGTCCGCTCCAACTCCCCGGCCAGCTCCTGGTTGGTGAGTTTCAGCTTGGTGTTCTCAGCCTTGGTTTCGTGCTTGTCGTTGTGCAGGGCGGTGCACTGGCCTTCCAGCTGGAAAGGAACGGGGGCGTTGTGCAGAGGGGAGCGATGAGCAAGCTCCATCCCCCCATCAGGCTGGCCTTTCCCAGCCGCGCCCTGCTTCCTCCACCTGGTGGGTGGGAACCCACGCTACTGCCCCTCACTGCCCTCAAGCCTCAGTCAGCTTTGTCCTGCCCCTTAATGCACACACACACTTCTGGAGGCAGGAAGGATAAATTCAGCTTGATGAATGCGGCCAGTAAGAGAAGGAGGAAGCAACCACAAGGAATTTTGTGTGATTCTCAAGAGGCCCCTGAGTGATCAGGCAAAGCATGCAGTAATCAAGTCGAGTGGCAATCATTCATTGGAGGGATAAATCTAATTGGTAAGAACTTAATGCATAATAGTGAGGAGCAAAGAGAGGAAGAGAAGCCAGGTACACTGTGCAGGCGGGGGGTTGGGGGTGAGGGAGGGGGAGGCAGCTGGCAGTGAGAGCATCTTGCTGCAGGAGAGAAACCGAAATCTACAGGTTGGGTACTCAGAGGAGTGCAACCCTCTCCAGCCTTAGCATGGGAGTCTCTTCAAGTGTATTTTAATGTGCTGCTAAAAATATCCCTTTCTATTCAAATGGAACCAATGTGTCTGGGTCTGTCCAGGGCTGGATGCCTTCCAGCACCAGACAAAACAAAACAGGAGGCCAAGCGGCATCCGGGCCTCTCTCTCCTACGAGCCCCTTGCTTTGGAGACGAGGCTGCGAGCGTGAGGTTTGCCTAGGTAACCCATCTCCCTGGGGTCCTGAGCCACGCACTCCCAGCCACAGTGGGTGGACCCTGGGACACCACCCAGCCTGTCTCTGGGGACTTAGGTGCATCAGGGGCACGTCTGGTGTCTGCATCCACCCTGCGGGGTGACGGGAACTGTCCCAAAGGAGGCTGACGCACCTTGTACGGGCACACGGGAAGACAGGGGATGGACAAGTTGACCTTTGTCCTGGTCAAGCTGCTCTTCCAGCTGGAGGCATCCCTGGCCCTCCTGGCAGGAAGACATCACAGTCTGCAGCCTCCCCCCAGATATCAGTGTCTGTGACCCCTGTACCGCAGCATCCCCCTTATCTCTCATACAGGATGCAGGAAACAAAGTAACGTTTTGGCATTCTGGTGGCTCCTGGGCATAATTATACCACGATGTCTGTGGAGGATACTTGGGAGAATTCTTGGCAATTTTTCCAAGTTAAACACCAGGCATTGGAGAGTAAAGGCTTTATCTTGGGATCACCTGTGATTTCAGATGCTCTCTTTTGTTCAACTAAATGGTTCTTCTCAGATTTAAGAAAACAAAGTCCTTAAGTGAATGGCAGGGAAAGTGGGCAAGCGCCAGAGGAGGATGGAGTGCAGGGCAGGTGCTCTGAGGACATGGACACGAACATACCCGCTTCTGCTTCTGGATGAGCCGCTCCAGTTCCTGCTCCTTGGAGAACAGCTTCCGTTCCAGCTCCTGATTGCGGGCCTGGAACCTCTCCGTGTCCTGCCAAGCCAGGAAGGACACGTGAGGCCCAGACGCACCGGGATGGAGACTTTTTTCCCCCACCTTGAACCTGCTCGACAGCAGGGAGGGGCCCGCCCATCCTTTGGGGTCTTCCCACAACATCCCAGGGCTTTGGTCACCCGCCTGCCCTGGCGGATGGAGAGTGTGCACAACGCCAGCTCCCACCATGTATGACATGTCGGATGACAGCCTCCCACAAGAGAGGCAGCGTCGGTCAGTGGGCGGATACCGAACGGGGAACAGAACAGGGGCTAAGCTGGAATCTCAGGCCTCAGGCTCCTGTCTGTCCGTTGGAAGATGGAATGTCCTTCCGGCTCGGATATTCTGTCCATGTTGGGCGCAATCATTCAATCCTTTAAACTGCCCTCCTCTGAAAACACAGCGGCCCCCCTTCTTCCTCCTTCAGGCGGGCCTAGGCCCTCGCTGTGTCCCCGCTGGGACGGAGGGCTCCCAAGCCCCGGTGGGGGGGGGTCTCTCCCGTGAGCTCCACAGCCCCTCCCTCCTGCCCTAGAACCGGCCTTCCCCACTCAGGGATGCGGAGACCTCAGTGATGCAAGCGGGAAGGGGCCTGGTCGTGGGACAAAGAGGAAAGTGTGTAGCTGGCGGGATGCCTGACACTCTCACCAGAGCCTGATCTGGTGTAAGGGCCCTGAGTGGGCAGCGGGAGACTTGGGGTCCAGCCCTTGCCTTGCCCAGCTTCCGGCTGTTTTCTTCCACGTCGCTGTTTCTTGGGAAACAAAACTACCCGTACCACCTGCAGCTCTGCTTGTCCGAGGCATGGCCGCAGCGCAGGCCAGGCAGGAAAAGAAAGCATCATAGCCTCCGTATAACTCACCACAGGAGCCCCACGGGCTTTCCATGACGTGAAACGACACCTCCCCAAGGAGGACAGTGGTGAGACGCAGCCCTAGGGGGCAGCCATGTCTGGGAGCAGCAGGGTGAGGGGACAACAGCCCCCATCAAAGCCCAGGGCTCTTCCTCAGCCCCTCATCTGGAGATGCCACCTCGTTCCTCTGCCCGTTTTTTTATTTTTTATTTTTTTGATTTTTTGCGGTACGCGGGCCTCTCACTGCTGTGGCCTCTCCCGATGCGGAGCACAGGCTCCGGACTCGCAGGCCCAGCGGCCATGGCTCACGGGCCCAGCCGCTCCGCGGCATGTGGGATCTTCCCGGACCGGGGCACGAACCCGTGTCCCCTGCATCGGCAGGCGGACTCCCAACCACTGCGCCACCAGGGAAGCCCTCTCTGCCCATTTTGGACAGGTCAGTGGGGCTCGCGGGGGAGCCCGTGACCGTCCTCGTGTCGGCCACACCTGACGGTGGAGGCAGGGTATGACCAGGCAGCCCCTGCTCCCAACGTTTACTGCAGGGAATCTTCAAATGTGGCAGATAATTTACCGGTTTATTTTTATTGATTGTGGTCTGTCCCGTCCTACCAAGATGTAAGCCCCAAAGAGCAGGACCCCTGCTGGCTGGGGGTGGGGCGAGCAGCTCCAGGACCCCCAGCTGATGCTGGCAGCCCCACAAAGGCCAGACGGAGTGTCTTACCGCCCCTGCCGGGCACAGAGTGCTGAGGGGGTCACGGCCAGTGAGATGCCGAGCGCCAAGCCCTGGCCAGAGGGTGCAGCCTCTCAAGCTGTCATGAGCTGTAGACCACCAACCTCACACGGTGGCCAGGCCAAGCCTGCGCGCCCAAAGGGTTCACAGCACGGCCGAACACGTGTTCACGGCTCCCACGTACACAAACAGCATACATCGCAGAGCTGAGCCTGAAAGGCGTTTGGGGCTCAGAGGCCTTGAGAAGGGAGGAGCCGGGCTGGGGGGTGGGGCGCGGCAGCGGGGTAAGACCCCCCAACTGGGGCAGATTTGCCCTGGAATTCCCCCCCCCGCCCCGACCTCTTTCCGCTCCCAGTCCCCAGGTGTTGACCCACCTTTTGCTTCTGGAAGCAGCATCTTTCCTTAGCTATGACCTTTGACTTGTAGTCATGGTGAGGGGGAGGGGGCCGAATGCCGCCCCCCACCCCCCAGAACTCGGCCCCTCTGTGCACAAAGCCACTGGGGTAAAGGGAGCGGGTCTACTATTGCAGGGGATGCGGGGCGGCGGTGAGGCTGAGGCTCCCGGAACAGCCCCCCGCCCCCATAGGGTCCGCTCGGTGAGGAGATGCGTGTTCTCTCTGCCTGTTCGCCTTCGCTAAGGCTGGAAGTCGGGGGAGGGCGGGGTCAGCCAGGAGGCATTAGCGCTCTAAAAAGGAAGGCGAGGGGGAGGTCTGGAAATACTGCCCAGCCTCCAGAGGGCTCTGGGTGGAGAACACAACCGGCTTTTTCTGGAAAGCATTCTGACGCCCTCTCAGCTGGAAGGGCATCTGTGATAAGAAATGGGGCCGTGGTGTGGATAATCGGCAGAATGAAGTGAAACGCTGGTTTAGACCAACCTGCCTTAAGGAGCAGGGGAGCGATGTGACAGCGGCTCAGGTTCAGCCTTGAGAGGCAACAAGCAGGTGATGGGGTCGCTATGTTCAAAATTCATACGTTGAAACTTAACCCCCAAGGAGATGGCCCCAAGGAGGTGGGCTCTGTGGGAGGTGATTAGGTCACGAGGGCAGAGCCCACCAGAGTGGGATTAGTGTCCTTGTCCGATACTCCAGAGAGCCAGCTTGCCCACGTGAGGACACAGAGAAGTTGGCAGCCTGCAACCCGGGACAGGGCTGTTACTTGAACCCGACCACGCTGGTACCCTGATCTTGGACTTCCGGCCTCCAAAGCCGTGAGATATGAATGTTTCTTGTTTATAAGCCACCCAGGTTATGATATTTTGTAATGGCCCGAACTAAGACAGGAGGCCACCTTTCAAATCCAAGACTTTTCCGCTGAGAACCCAACAAGTGGATAATCCGAAAATGGATAAGAGGGAGTCTCCTGTAGCTCCGTCTGATGAATATGTTCCCCTAAAGGATCCTGCTTAGCCTGGAACAGGAAGGGATTTCACCAGTTCTGAGCTCCCAATACAAACAGCGGGGCTTGGTGGAAGGCTAAGTGCCAGACTAAGAGCAGGAATGTGAGTTTTACATTTTCTCCCGTGGAATTCGAATAGAGTGGCACTTGAGTTGTCTTGGGAATTAAAATTTCTAGGTTTCCAAGGGGAAAGGACGGGAAGCATCGGCTCTAACGAGGGCCCCCTTAGGGGAGCTGCTGGGCGTGGAGTGGCACGGGCCGTCGCGTTCGTGCAGGCTTGCCGTGGAGGCCTCGGGAGCAGCTAACGTCAAGCCAGTCTCCAGGCTGCTTCAACTGGTAAAGCCCCTCCATCCTTCTCTGCATTGATTCCTTGTTCATTCATTCACTGATTCAACAACTACTGGTTGAACGCCTGCCTGCTGTGCTCCAAGCACGGTGGAAGTGCTGAGGGTACATTAGTACGTAAAAGGTAAAGATCCCTGCTCTTTGGGGCTTACATCTTGGTAGGACGGGACAGACCACAATCAATAAAAATAAACCGGTAAATTATCTGCCACATTTGAAGGTGACAATGGCCTTGCAAAAAAATACACAAAGCAGGGAAACAGGAAATCAATAGTGCCATGGGGCACTGCAATCTTAGATCCGGGGCTGGGGAGGGGGCATGGTCAGAGCAGGAGATATTGCAGCCTGGCCCGCAGAGCCGAGCCCCGGGAACGGACTCTTGCCTTCAGGAGAAACTTCTCTTCCTCCCTTTTGATTTGCTGTTCCATCTCCTCGTAGAGGTGCTGGATCTCTTCATCATAGGCAGCAATTTTCCTGCACGGGTGACAGAAAGAGAGCGTGATGAGATGCCTTTATTCCCCCAGTGGAGCTCTGGGTGGCGTGGGTGACCATGGCGGTTGGGTCAGCCAAGGCTGCAGGGTCAGCTCCCCGGGATCAGCTGACCACTGAGGCCCAGCAGGACCCTCTCATCCTCCTGTCTCCCAGCTGTCCCTCCCGGGCATCCCTGGCTCCACCTTCCTGTCCTCTGCTTTATCTCAGCACCAATCCACCCAGCCTCTGTGACACTCACCGTCCTATTGCCCACTGATCCCCTATATGCTTGTTGACAGCATAAAGGTGTGCGGTGTGGGCTTCTTTTCTGCTTGGTTTCTTGGTGTATCTGTTTCCCACTTTGGGCGCTTTCTCTCTACCTGGTTCCATCAGCACCATCTGAACTGTACTCTCCTGGAAACTATGTGCTGAACTTTGCGTGACCCTCATTTCTCATAGGATGGCAAAAGTTTCCACGGTGGTGACCACCGCCACCATCACGACACAGCTAGAAAGGAAGGGGGCCACACCTGTCCAAGGGCTCACCCATCTCGGCACAGGGCCATGGGAAGGGTGAGGCTGGGTAAATGCTGATGGCAATAGTGACACGCTGGGTTCTCAGCGTCCCCTCCTACTCCGAAGAGCCCCGCAGGACAGGGAGTACATAGCTGGCCTCTCTGCTCCTACATGGAGATGAGGACAGATGCGGCTCTGGGGACAAGGTTTGTGGGTCACCCCGGGATGGCTCCTCTTTCTCTCCCAGTAATAGATCCTCCTTCAAATGCTCCCCCAAGTTCAAACGGGAAGGACCAGGTATTAGCATTCGAACCAAGACTGGAGATGATCACATGTGACATTCCCAGGCGGTTGCACCTCTACACCTCTTCTCTGACCGGGCATGGAAGGCCCTCTCTGCCCCTCGCTCCCTGCCCTCTGTCCTGTTAAGGAAACTCTAGGCTCCAGCAAGCAGGCTTATGTCATAGCTCTCCAGGTTTGTTTCGAACCTGCAATATACACACCTACTGCCAATTTTGGCACCTGCCATTCTAAACTCAAATGCTGGCACTCCCTTGTTCTTTATTCAACGAAGGAGGCTTTTATAATTGAACAAACAGCCCTGGTTCTCAGTTCTAAGAGGTACCAGAGAGATTTCAGAAGAAAACATCAAGGATAGGAAAGCATTCATTCCCCTGAGCCTTCCGTCATTCAAAGTCTCACCTCCCTGTATCCCCAAGTCCCCCTGGGACTCCAGTCCAGCGCCAGGCCTCCCCCGCCACCCGAGGCTGCACCACAGCCCATAGGCTGCCCCTTCCTCACTCGCTACCTGAGGGGGAACCTGGCACCACATGCACAGGCTGCCATTTTGACTGGCATCCTTCCAGTTCTACAGAAACCACACAACTGACCCAGACGAGGGAACCGGTGTGGATCTGCACGGTCAAGGTCACTCACCTGTCTGAGTTCCCTTTCTTGGTTGTATCTCCAAGACCACAAACCTGACTCTGAGTGAGTATGGCACTGGCCCAGGGTGTGCTCAGCAAGAGGACACAGCTCTCTAAGCCTCCTCCAAGCCAAGGCTCTGTGTTCATCACTGGGCTTCCCATCCCAGGAGTAACAAATGTCTTTCTGGTGAAGAGTGAGAACTCTCTTCTTGGTAAATGACAAATGTTTGGATTGTTACTTTGGTTCTTAGCTACCCCATGACAATTACAAGAAAACCCTGGCAAGAAATAAGGAGCCGAGGCACCTGCTGTTGCATAGGGACACCTCAGGGACAGAAATGATACAGTGGAAAGGAAATTTCAGAAACAAAGATGGTCTTCCCTTGCTGCCTGGAATTATCTTCCTGTGCTGGAAGAAATTCCAATGCTACATGGTAAATGGTATCCAGGAGAACTTTAGAGACAGTGATTCCAACTATATAAGTACCAGGAAACTAATAAAGTGATATGAGAAAAACTTAAAAATGGATTTGACGCTGCTAAAGCAATACTAATTACAGCCAGGCATATAAGCTGTGTACCATTTAGGCCTAATAACCATGCAGAGCATTAATTCTACACTACCATTAAATGTGTTATATTAACTTGAAGTTTTATTGGATTAAATTAATAAACTCTATGCTTCTCGTGCTCACATGTCAATCTGTTAGTCGTGAAGTAAGTAATTTTGCAAATTGCTACAAACAAACTAATGGGGGGAAGAGAGATGTAGCCTCTGAATGGCACCTACTCCCAGCCCTCAACACAAAGGATGTGCCCACCACAAAGAAGTCCTGGGATGCAGGCGGGCATCAGCGATCCTGGGCCCACACTGGATCAGACGTGGAGCTCATTCTTTGCAAACGCTCTTGAACAAAACCGGCCAGCATCCTGGGAGGCTGCCAAGGCCTGAATGATTTCAGAGGATGAGCCCTGACCCAGGGCTGGGCACCCGAGCCCTGGCAATGAGATCACTAAGGTGCTGTGCACACCACTTCCATCACCAAACCAGCTCAGAGGGCAGAAGACCTCCTCCGATCTCAAAGTAGCACCTGTACCCCCAGTTCCTCCCAGCATCATCTCGATGACCAAACAAGAGAGCAGGTGTGCAAGGTATTTGAACTGCAAAGTCCTAGATGGATGTAAGGGATTATTTATTACCGTAATTATTATCATGGGCTGCGGGGGGCAAGGGTTAACACTCCCCAAGGGGAGGAGGGTCTTTGTTTCAAGAATAAAAGGGTTGCTAGGTTTGGAAAAGGGTCAGAAGCAATCAGCAAAGATGAAGAACAGAAAGCTTTAGTCAATAAAACCTCCTGTCGGAGCGATCATTAGAGATCAGCCTGTGTGTGAGCAGGGGCTACAGAGAAATTATTTTTCTGGGAGAAACAATGGCTAGAGACACTCTCAAAAGATCTGGGCAGGGCTTCTCTGGTGGCGCAGTGGTTGATAGTCCGCCTGCTGATGCAGGGAACACGGGTTCATGCCCCGGTCCGGGAGGATCCCACATGCCGCAGGGCGGCTGGGCCCGTGAGCCATGGCCGCTGAGCCTGCGCGTCCGGAGCCTGTGCTCCGCACTGGGAGAGGCCACAACAGCGAGAGGTCCGCGTACCGCAAAAACAAAAAAAGAAACCCACCCTGTCAACACCTTGATCTTGGACTTCTAGCTTCCAGAACCATGAGAAAGAGGTTTCTGTTGTTTAAGCCACCCAGTCTGCAGTCACTTGTTATGGCAGCCCTAGCAAACTAATACCACTGCTATAGCGGAAAAAAAAAAAAAAAAAAAAAAAAAAAAAAAAAAAGATCTGGGCATATGGCGTATGGTGCTCCAGCCGGGCTTACCACGTTCTGCCATCAGAGGAAAGAGGCAACTGATTATGTTTGCTTATTATACACCCCTTTGTTGCCACTATTTCTAAAACCACTCAGGTTGCCTGACGCACACAAACACAGACTTTGAAGTTTTCTCCATGAGTACTTCCCTGTCTGTTCCAATGCACTGAACCCCCTTCTCTGACCTCGGAGGACACCATATGTCTTTATTTGAACATGTCAAAGTCCTGAACTACGCTTTCCTTTGGGTTTATGCTGTCTTCACTAGGTTACGAACACTCAGACATTGACGTCACTCACAGGGCCTGTGCTCAAAATGTTAATGCTGAAAATCTTTAAGAAATAAATTTAAGACTTTGGATACCAGACTCAGAAGTCCATGGGTGGACCACATGGTGGGAAATACCAGATTCCAGGGGAACTGAAGAATTTCGGGGTTGGAAGGCTTGTGTGATCCAACCACCTATTTTTCCAGTGTTAAAATCCTCGCCACAATATCTCCACCAAGTATTTACCCAGACTGGGTTAGAACACCTCCAGTGAGAGGGAATGCTGGATCTCTAAGCAGCTCTTTCATCTATGGACTATTCTGGCTCATAGACATGTGTCTTTCTATGACCTTATCCTGCCTCTGTGTAATAACCCTTCATATATTTTAAAACAGCATTAAGACTTCAAGGAGTAGCCTTGGGTTGCGGTCATGCCTCTCCACTTCCTCCAGCCATGTCTCACATTGAAGTCCCTTCACCGTCCCCTTTGCTTTTCTCTGAATGGGCTGTAATTGAGCTTTCTCAAGCCATGGAGTCGCAAACTGAATGCCCAGTGTATGAGGTCTGATCCGTGCAGATTAGATCTCTCTTGCTCTAGTTGCTGCCTACCTATTCATGCAGTCTAAGAGCACATTCGCTTTTCTGGGCAGTCACATCACATAGTTGATGAATGCTGAACCCATTTGTCGACTAAAACCCCTAAACTTGGGACTTCACCGGTGGTCCAGTGGGTAAGACTCCATGCTCCCAATGCAGGGGGCCAGGGTTCAATCCCTTGTCAGGGAACTAGATCCCACATGCATGCCGCAAAAAGGTCCCGCATGCCACAACTGAGGCCCGGCGCAGCCTAAATAATAAATAAATAAATATTTAAAATAAATAAATAAATAAATAAATAAAACCCCTAAACTTGATGGCAGAGTGATGGTTTTTGTTTTAAAGATGGGGTGACTGAGGGACTTCCCTGGTGGCACAGCGGTTAAGAATCCGCCTGCTAATGCAGGGGACATGGGTTTGATCCCTAGTCCCAGAAGATCCCATATGCCACGGAGCAACCAAGCCCATGAGCCACAACTACTGAGCCCATGTGCCACAACTACTGAAGCCTGCACACCTAGAGCTTGTGCTCCACAGCAAAGACAAGCCACCACAACGAGAAGCCCACTTGTTACAACTAGAGAAAGCCCATGTGCAGCAACGAAGACCCAAAGCAGCCAAAAATAAATAAATTAATTAATTTAAAAAACAAAGAAAAAGGTGGTGTGACTGAATCATATCTCTCCCACCTTGTGCTTTTGCCATTGGTGTTTTGGATTTTGGCAAGATCTCAAACATAATTCTCTTAGATTTTATGCTTGTTAGATTCAGTCCATCTTTCTCAACTGTCACTATCTTAATGGATCCCAACTGGTGGCTCAGT